GCAGCGCCGTCCTCCTCTATGCTTTTGTGGAGACCCGGGACAACTACTTCTATATTCACAGCATTTGGCATATGCTCATTGCCGGAAGTGTGGGCTTCTTGCTGCCCCCTCGTGCCAAGACTGACCACAGGGTCCCATCTGGAGGGCGGGCCCGGGGCTGTGGTTATCAGCTATGCATCAATGAACAGGAGGAGCTGGGTCTTGTGGGCCCAGGAGGGGCCACTGTCAACAGCATCTGTGCCAGCTGAGAGGGGCTTTGGGCCTGGCCCTGGGGGGATATGAATCCTTCCTGGGGGCATGGAGCCCTCCCAAAGACAAGAGACAAGCTATATTTCTTCAGGATATGGAGTCTTTTACAAGGACATAGAACTCTTCCAGGGACCTTGAGCCCTACTCAGTATGTGAAGAACTTCTTGCAGGCTTGGTGTCCTCCTTTATCCATGGAGTCTTTTGTAAGGACTGGAGCCTATGCAGGGCACAGAGCCCCCTCAGGACCAAGGTGTATTTCCCAGGGATATGGAGCCCTCCTAAAGATGTGGATTCCTTTCTACGGAAACAAAGCCCTTTCAGGAATGTGGCATCATTTCAGAGGAAATGGAATCTATCTTGGGGAAACTGAGGGTCCACATTTTCCCAGAGGCTCAGCAACTCTGGCCTCAGGCTTCCTCCCCAGGGGTGGCATCTGGGCTGGCCTGTGCTGGGAAGGAGGGATTGCAGGGATGGAACTCAGGCCAGCTGGGGTGGCTGGTGTCCTGAGTTAATGCAGGTGGAGTCTGTGTGTCTCCAATGAAGTATGTACTGATTGTGTGCTGCTGCCTTTTTTCCTGGGGTCAAGAGTGTGGGAAAGGGGGGAGGGAGAGGATCTGAGGAAATCAGCAGGGGTGATGGGAGCCTAGTCAGAATGAGCTGCTGGGAGCTGCTGTCTGAGGCTTTTGCCCACCACATAGGGACTTGCCTCTTTTCTCATGTGGTACCTGTTTTCATTCTAAACACTTCTTAATTCCTATTCCTCAATTCTTATTGATCTCAGTGTGCAGTAGCTGAGGTGTGTGCATATGTGTGCTTATTTGGGCATGTGTGTGCATATGTGTCCACGTGCTGAGATGGTTTATATCAGACAAACCTCCCTGTGGTGTCCACACCCAACACAAAGGAAGCCAAGGTCCCAGGAAATTGGAGTAGCAGGTATACATCTCAAGAAATATCATAAGAAATAACTTCTATTTTGAGCCCCCATTTTTCCTGAGTGCCAGAAAAGACCTTGTGTCAATTCAGGTTTTCTTATTTTCCCACAAGGGTCATAGTAGGTTCTTACTTGAGTCTTGAGTCTTGAGTCTTGAGTACTTGAGACTTGAGTCTTACATGTTCCAAAATGTTAAGGGAGTGTTCTCTATGGTCACCAGTGTTCATACTTCATTAGTTCACTGAGATTTCCATCATTCTACCTGGTCCCCAGTTAGAGGTCCCAACAGGTCATCTGAGGTGCAGGGAGGTTTCCTGTTCTCATCTCCACAACCCATTCATTCCTGAAGTTCTTTTCACCACACCCATGCCATATGCAAAGACCCTTGAGATTATCTGAGGCCTTGACTAGCCAGACATACCTTGAAGCCATTTCTACTTAGGGGTTCTGTTCCGGATTTTACTTGACAAACAAGACATGAGTTGCTCCATCTTTTAAAACTGCTTTCGGTACCCTTTGTGCCAGTACTCTCTACATTCCTGTCTCCCCTCTCTTCCTCCCCCTTTTGTTAATATGGAGGTGAGGAAGCCTAGCTTTCACATATCTTGTTTTTTCCCAAATCTTTTTATCTATGCCCTGTGTCTTTTCTGGACCCATCAGGGCCTAGGTTCAAAGTACAAAAGACAAGGAAACATCCATTGTTCTCAGTTTTCTGCAATCACATCTCTTCCTAGGGCCACTGAGCAGAGAATGGTGTGGCCAAATGAATGGTGAGAAGTAGTGAGGGGGTATGAACTGGGTATCTGTTCCTATCCCCCAGTACTATTCCATCTTATTAAGATGTATAGAGCCAGGTCATTAGGATGCTTGAATACAAATAGCTGGTTTCAGGGCAGAGCTGGATTCAGAGTACAGAAGGTACTGAGGGCACTGAAGAGGGAGACAGAACTTGGACATGCTGGGGTCAGAAGGGGCTTCCTGGGAAAGGTGGTAGTGGGGGTTGAATGGGGATTAAATAAGTTGCCATAATGTCAAGATGTTGGGACAGTGTTCTCTATGGTCCCCAGTGTCCACATTGCATTCCTCACTTGAGATCTCCATCAATTCATCTGGTCCCCAGTCAGCAAAGCACTTAGGACACTTAATACAGTGCCTAGCACATGATGTCTATTATATATCACTAAAGGTCACCAAGTATTTGGAGATGAGGAGGGAATGGCAAGGGACAGATACCGTGGCAAGAAAGACCGATATATACTCAGGGAACTCCGGGGCGTTGTGTGTGTGTGTGTAGTAGGCAGTGGAGGTGAGTAGTAATGTGATTGGGCAGATGGGGGAAGTATAGCCTTTATTCTATGGAAAATGAGGAGAGTAACACAATCAGATTGGTGTTTTGATGGTGGGGGCAGAGGATGGATTTAGGGGAGAGTTTGGGAGACAAGTGTGCAGTGACATGGCTGTTACGATATTTAAGAGAGAAATGGGCTCAGCGCCTGTGGCTCAAGTGGCTAAAGCACCAGCCACATACACCTAAGGTGGCGAGTTCGAATCCAGCCCAGGCCCACCAAACAACAATGATAGCTGCAACCAAAAAATAGCCGGGCCTGTGGTCCCAGCTACTTGGGAGGCTGAGGCAGGAAACTCACTTGAGCCCAGGAGTTGGAGGTTGCTGTGAGCTGTGATGCCATGGCACTCTACCCAGGGAGACAGCTTGAGGCTCTGTCTCAAAAAAAAAAAAAAAGAGAGAAATGGTGAAGGCTTCTTGATTAACATGATGTCAGTAGAAAGGAGGGAACCAATTTAAGAGCTATTAAGGGGTGAACTCTATAGGACTTAGTGACTGATTGCCTGCATGGGGTGATGAGGTACAACAGAAAGTCTAAGATGATTGCCATGTTTCTGAGTAGGGGGTGATGGTGCCATTCCTTGAGATCGTGACACCACTGTAGGTGGGAGGATAGAGTTCAGTTTTGGACAGTTTGAGGTACCTGTGGGATTCCTGGGGTGGAGAGCAGTGCTGGGCATAGCAGCTGAACCAGGCCTGGAACCCTGGTCTCTTGGTTCCCCAAATGGGGATCCTTGCTCTCCTGACTTGTCTCATTTGGGGAGAACTCATGGTCCAAAGATTCCATGCCAGCCTTGAATATGGTGCTTTGGCTGGTGGATACTGCTGCTCTCTTGAAGTATCTGTGCACACGATTGGACCAAGACCCCTGACCACCTTATATTTCCTGGGGCATGGTAAGTGGCACATTCTTCATCCCCAGGTGGTGATGTCACAAGCTTCTGAGTGATAGCTTCATTCAGCAGACCTTTCACAGGGAAAGCTCTGTGGGAGGTGAATCATGCCTGCCTAAATCCTGCCCTAAGGAACTCACGTGGTGGTGAAATGTCACAAATGCAAGTCAGGATTAGACAGGTGTGAACAGAACAATGTTGAAATGCAACAGGAAAGTTGAGTGAAAGAGATGATCATCTACTCTAAGTAGATGGGCTTTGAAAACTGGCTCCAGATGTCATCTGAGAACAGCATGAGCAAAGACATGGAAGTGCAGACAGTACAGATAATGTAGTCAGGGGACTGGCCATGTGAAGGGCATAGTAGAAAAATCAGGCTCAGAAGCAGGTGGGGTCAGTCTGGAGGGCCTTGACAACTTTGCAGAAGAATTTGGACTTAATGCTGTGGTAATGGGGAGCCATCGAATGTTCTTGATCAGAAGAAGGATGACTCAATTGGGGTTTGCCCAAACTAGCAGAACCACTATGAGTGGTATAGGGACTACATTATGGAGATTAGACCTATACAGTCATGGGAGCAGTTGGAGAAGCCCGGGCAAAGCAGCTACCTCTGCACTGGTGTCAGGCCTGGGCTGCTGCACGTCAGCCTGGCTGGCAGTAGGGAAGGAGATCTGAATGTGAAAGTAGGGAGAGAAGGGCAAATTAGAACCCAGGAGGACAGACTAGAACCTGGTCTGGCTCTTACACCTTCATTCTCAGTGACACTGTTGTCCTGCATGAGAAGCTGGCAACCATGGAGCTGCGCTTGACCCAGGACTCAGACAGTTGAAGAAGGTGATCTGGTGGGGCCTGGATGGGCTGCACTTACCAGGTAAGCCATAAATTTAGTGACAACATGTGAGCACTCCTGCAGGGTCTGGTGCTCTCACTTTTGCCTTCCAGATATGCAGGTTTCTCTGAGGTCAGCCCTAATTCAGACCCAGACAGGGAAGAAAACTCTGGAAGAACACTTCCAACCTAGTTTGGTTAGCCCAATACAAAGCTACCACAAGTGGAGCTTTGTTGGGACAATTAACCCAGCAGGAGCCTGTGGAAGATGGACAGTCCAGAAAAAGGAAGCCAAATTTCTAGTAGCTCTTGGATGGATGCTGGAGGAGGGTGTGGGGTCATTAGGCGATTCACCAATCTCTTGGTCCTCTCTTTCTTTCCTTCCAGACACATGATAGCTGTACTTCTCCTCCCCTTTCATGTTAGATGGGGCCCAAATATTCCCCCAGGTTATGTGCCTTATTGTTGGCCACTGCGTGGGCCCCTGATGTATAAGTGGAAGTAACACATGGCATTTCTGAGTGGAAGCTCTAAGAGATGTCAGTGCTGGCTTTGTCACTCCCCTTTCCCTTTTGTCATGGTGACCAGCAGTGTGCAAATGGTAGCTGCTTTGTCCTCCTGAATCCCAGGGATGAAGACTACACATCAGAGCAAAACCCTAGCCAGCCTCTAATGACCCTGCACCATGAGCAAGAAACAGACCTTATGACTTTAAGCCACGGAAGATTTGAGATCGTTGCCACAACATAACTTAGCCCGGATTGACTGACAGAGACGGAGAGCAGCAGTAGAAGGCAGACGCTTTCCTGGAGAGCAGGCGGCCTCCCAGTAGAGCCGCCGCAGCAGCTTTCACCTCTGCGTTCCTCAGGCTGTAGATGATGGGGTTCAGTGAGGGTGTCACAACCCCATAGAACAATGCGATAATCTTATCCAACTTGGGGTCCTTAGCCTTGGGCTTGAAGTACATGAAGGAGATGGTTCCATAGAATATCACCACCACTGTGAGGTGGGCAGAGCAGGTGGAGAAGGCTTTCTGCCGGCCTGCAGCAGAGGGAACTCTAAGGATGGCAGCCAGGATGAAAATGTAGGACAGGCAGATGAGCAGAAGTGGGGCCAGCGTCAGGACAACTGTGGCCACCATCATTGTTAGTGCATTGAGGGAGATGTCCCCACATGCCAGTTTTAGCACTGCCAAGATCTCGCAGAAGAAGTGGTTGATGACATTGTGGCCACAGAAGGGGAGGCGCCAGACAAGGATGGACTGTAGCAGGGAGTTGGCAAAGCCTGTCCCCCAGCTCAGCACTGCCATCTGCATGCATGTCTGTCCACTCATGAGCAATGGGTACCTAAGTGGCTGGCAGATAGCTATGTAACGGTCGTAGGCCATCACTGCCAGGAGCAAGCACTCTGTAGAGCCCAGCGCTAGGGTCAGATACAGCTGCAGGGCACAGCTGGGGAAGGAGATGGTCCTTTGGGTTTTCAGAAAGTTGACTAGCATGAGAGGCACAAAGGAGGAGGTGCCACAGATGTCCATGAGGGAAAGGTTGCTGAGGAGGAAGTACATCGGGTGGTGCAGATGGGGGTCCAGTATGTTCAGCCCTATGAGGAGGGAATTGCCCAGCAGGTTCACTGAGTAGATGCCCAGACACAGCACAAACAGGACCACCTCCACGTCATGGTGCTCATGTAGCCCCAGCAGGACATATTCCGTCATAGCTGTCTGGTTTGCCTCATTCATCTCATTCTCTTTCCTTCTCAACCTGGACCACACAGCTTTTGGAAAGAGCTCCAGCTGGCCTGGGAGCCAAGTGGCCTGTATGTGTGATCTGGCAGGTCAGCCTCCCTTTCTGGAATCTGGTTTCATCATCTGTATAATGAGAGAATAGGACTTCAGATCTGCCAGGCAGCCCTCCCTGCCATGCTGTTCTGCTGACAAAATGGGAGGATGTGGCACATCCCAGTCCCCAAGGCTCTTCTCTGCTCACCTGAGGGCCTAGAGACTCTGACAACAGAGTAGGAGTTGTGTTTGACATGGTCCTTTGGAATCTGAAGTGTTTTTGGCTGTTGAAAGGAAGCGTCTTTTCTAAGTTATGATTTCAATTTAGACCCATTCATTCACTGAATATTGAGTTCCCACTCTGTGCTAGATAAATTTCATTGAATATTTGTTGAGCATCCACTCTGTGCTAGATAAATTTTGGAGGCTGAGGCCACAGCAATAAGAAAGGTAAATGGGCCTGTCAAAGATGCTGCCCCTCCCTTCCCTGAATTAAGCGAGATGAGCTTTAGAAGGCAGGTGTGTGGTAGATAATGCTCACCTGATGTTCTTTTGTGTCCTGAAGGTCAAACATGTCAGCTCCGTGGCATATGTAAGCCTGATTTCTGTCATCTGTTTGAGGAATCACCATTCATTGATTTTTAAAAAGACATCAAGAACATAAACATCCTAATAGAGTTACTGGTCACAGCATTTAACCTTGGTAATGAAAGCCAAGTGACTCACTTCTTGGTCTCTATATTGCTTTGGGGGATAAATGATATTGGCAATGATGACACATGAGGAGGAAAGCCAGGTGCTAACTCAGCACAGATGTGGTCGGTCATCAACTAACTTTATAAAGGGAGGAGTGGGGAGAGGCTGTATTTATCTCCTAGGAAGCCACCATTACCCTGCTAAGCTGGTCTCACTTCCTCCTTGGGAAAGGCCAGTGTTAGGTATTCAAAGAAGGGAACCCAAGTGTCCCCAGTGCACTATAGTCTTATTAGGACTAGAAAGCTGTCTCATATCTAGCTGGACCTTGGTCTGATGGAGAAAATTGGAGCTGAGTGTGAACTTTAATCATTTAGAAGATATAATCCTTCCATTCCTAGATTGACTGTGAGGCCAATTTTCTGTGACAGCAATAGAGCCCTATCTGTTCTCTATGTTGGATTTTATTTTCTCATTATTTCTGGTAAATTGTATCCCTGACTTGCAGGAGCCACGGGGATATTTTCTGAATGACCCACATTTTTTCTCAGTTCTCCATCTTTGCCCAAGACAGAGTCATGTCCTTCCTCCCTCCCCCAGTTGGGTGTTCCTATTCATTCTTTAGGGCCCAGTCCTGTGTCTCCTTTCTTCTCTCTCCTGCCCCCTGCAGAGTGACCTGCTCCCTTGTGCTCCCACAACCTTTGACCATCCCTCCATGTCACTGTGTGGCATGTGGTGCACCTGTCTTCTCTACACATCTCGAAATCAGGATCTGCTCCTTCCTTTCAGTGCTTTGTCCTGTGAGTGCTGTTAGGGGCAGACCGTCAGCAGACATTGAATGCCTGATCCCAGAACCCAGCTCTGCCTCTTAGCTTCAGCATGAAGCAGCGTATGGTATGACCAAGTCACTTGGCCTCTCTGAGACTCAGTTTCCTCCTTGAAGATTGGGGATGTCTTGTATCTCAGAGAAGGTGTGCAGAGCAGGTGCTGCCCAGGGTGGTATAGTAGCACATTGCTATGAGGCAGATAGAAGGCTGCATCTTCAGGCATAGGATCCTGCTGCTGGATCCACACTAGCCACAAGGGCTCCAGTGTCTTTTATGATCCCCTCTTTCTCCAGAGCTCATGCAGGTTTTCCTTCTTCTACTTTGAATCAGGATGATTATGAAGGGACTGTTTCTGGAACATACAGAGGAAGTTGGTTCATCTGGATCAATTATTGACCTTAAATCTTGTCCACTTGGATGGGGAGTAAGATAGAGTTTATCTTGCTGAGATTTGGCAAAAAGATAAAGAATTAGCCAAGTGGCTCGGCGCCTGTAGCTCAATGGGCTAAGGAGCCAGCCATGTACACCTAAGGTGGCGGGTTCGAATCCCCAGCC